GAAGATTTGTTTTTCTACAAACTCATTTTGTTGTGGAGGTCTGAGTCCAGTTTACGACACATAGATCAAAGTATGTAGTAGGTATAAAGGTTGTTTTATAATATAAGAGTGCAAAGGGAGCAAACAGTCATGTTTTTTTGCCATAGTTGCTGGGCAGGCAGGTTTGTAACTGCAGTTTTTTTATTATTTTAAATTGTTATTTATAAGGAAGATGTCAGTGTCCACTTCATAGTTCAATTGCCAAAGTGACTTAAGACAGCCTCGCGACAAAATGGAATGATGCAGTTCTCTCAGGCTGCCCCAGCCTGGCAATCGGTTTCAAACAAACGTGCTGTTACTTACCGGGCGGATTAGGTAAAAGTAAGTGTATGGTAATAACCTAAACAAATAGAAAAAAAAGGTTGTAATGCTGTATGAAGAAGTGTAGAGTAGTCTTTAGATAGCCAAGGCTAATTATAACTTATAAATGGAAACGTAAGACTAGTGAATGTATAATATACTAGAAACACCCACGTTTCAATCAAGTTATATAATTGAATGCTATGTCTGTTAATTATTTAATATACTTGTATTACATTGTAAGTAATTAAACGCGATAAATCAATGAAACGAGTTTTTATAAACCGTTGTTAAGTTATTCTTTACACTTAAACGACACGGGAAAGGTACAATCTCACTCATCACATTAAATATGTTATAAATGAGGCAAAATTTATAACATATCGCCTTTTCGCCCAAACCTATAAAAGCCGGAACCGTAACGTCCTTAAGATACAAGCTGTATCTTTACAAACCCTGCGTAAAGCCCATTATGACATGCGCGGGTGTGTCCTTTACCCACATCACCCCAAATAGTCTTCAGCAACTTCAATTTGTTCAGAACAAATTCCTGCGACGAATCAAAAGAGCTCCTTACCAGTGACCAACGCGGATCTACGCGAACTTGATATCACTACCTCCATTAGTACCTTAAGGAACTTTGATTCGATTAAAGAGCATATAAGTTCGTTGGTGGTAGAGGCGTGTTCGTACTACCTACAGAGGAATGCTGCCCCCCTCAGGAGACGTCCCAAGAACGTTCTTCTTGATTCCGATGTTGAGATCACATCCCTGAATAGGTTGACCTTTTTCCCCCCTCTCTGCAGGATCCAATAAATAATAATAATATATGGGAATCTAATCTGATAACTCGGTTACACACATATTCAGACACTACAATAGTAAAGAACATTAGGGCACACCCCATACACGAGGTTTAATACCCGTGGTACTACGTACTGGGCGATTTTAATTTTTCAACCCGTTTTCCCACAATTCGATATTAGTTCAAGCTGAGGTTCGTACCTCCTTCTGGGGAGCCCTTGAGTCATATAGGTCGAAGCAGATGATGACTTCTCTTACCACGATCTTATATATTATTATTTATAATAAACTTAAGTCAACATTTCGATGGAATGAATGTTAGAAATCTCTGCAAAGATGCGTCTAACGTTGATTGGTCGTCTGTTTTAATGCACACTCAATTGATAATAAAGAAGCAATATTCACGACTAACTTAATCCGTCTTTATGATAAACAACAATCCTACGATAAATAACGAACTGGTGAATCGCGTCATTAAGATATCCGTTCACTGTGGCAGACTGTTGAAACAAAAACCATCTTAAACAAAAAAAGTTCAGCTAAGACAAAATACAAATGTACGCCTACATCTATAAACTGGCAAAATATATCACTATTCGAAATCACTGCAATATGGTGTGTAGGGTGCTCAACATTATTATATCCATAAATCGGTGCAAACTGGAGATGCAGACTTTAAGGGAGTCTGGAGTTTTCTTAAATCAATGGAGATTGGAAAGTCACGAAATAATGTACTCTCTAGTATTTTTAAATATTGTTTTACTAAATCGTCACTTCTTATCTCCGTCCAACTTTAATGGGACTACAAAATTCATCATCATCCCTTCAGCCCTTCACAAGTCCACTTCTGAACATAGGCCTCCCCCAAGGAGCGTCACAGAGTCGATCCTGACCCACCTGCGTCCATCGACTTCCTGCATGTCTTACCAGGTCGTCACTCTATCTAGTGGGGGTCGCCCTACGCGACGCCTACCGGTACGAGGCTGCCACTCGAGAATCTTTTTTCCGTATCGGTAGTCGGTTCTTCGAGCTATTGCCACTTTAGCTTACTAATCCGTTGGGCTATGTCGGTCACTCTGGTTTTACTGCCGATATCCTCGTTTCTAAATTTATCACGCAGAGAAACCCCGAGCATAGCCCTCTCCATAACTTGCTGAGCGACCTTGAGTGTCATCATACCAGAACCAGCAGTGAAGGATCATGTCACGAAGGTCACGTCAGATCCATTAGTCATCACTGGCAACACGCACTTGTTGTACAATCTAGTTTTCAGATTTTGAGGTATACCTGACGAGAAGATTAGTAATTTTCCGAACGCTGCCCATCCGAGTTGAATCTGTCGATTGACGTCTCGGTCGAAGTAGGACTTTTTGTCTCAGGTAAAGATACTAGTTAACAATTTCGAGCTTAGCGTTGCCAACAATTACCGGTATAGGTGTGACATGGACATTAAACTTGATCTATGTTTTGTCCATGTTCCTCTTAAGATCTATAACCGTTGGAAAACAATATTGAGTTAATTGAATTGTGAATTGTGCTTAGGTCCTCCAGCGATTCTGCCGTAAGGACTATATCATCGGCAAATCGAAGATGAGTAACATAATCGCCATTAATGTTAATACCCTATCCCTTCCAGTCCAGTAGCTTGAAAACGTCTTCCAATGTAGTGTTGTTCATAGTCCAAACACGCAAGGCAAAGTGGCAGATTGTATTCTTCAGTCTTCTGTACAATCTGCCGCAGAGTATGTATGTGATTTATGGTACTGAAGCCTTTTCGGAAACCGGCTGGTTCGGGAGACTGGAAGTTGTCGAGTCTGCGAGCGAGACGATTCGTAATGACTCTCGAAAACAGCACATAGATGCGGCTCAGAAGGGAAATCGGTCTGTGTTTCTTCAATAGAGTGCTGTCGCCTTTCTTGAAGAACAAAACCATCGCGCTTCTGCTCCACGCTCCCAGAGTATTGCATCATGGAGGACGGAATTGAAGATCTTCTGAAGAACTTTAAATATCGGTTTTCCACCCGCTTTCAGAAGCTCCGCTATAATTAAATCCTCGCCTGGGGCTTTGCCGATTTTAAGGTCGATGTCTGGAGAGACATTCTAATCTTGCTGAGACTGACATCCGGGATGTCATTGGAATAATGTCGAATAAGACTTGTTCTTGGATTGTGGACAAGTTGATGCTATTGCTGGTGCTCCGCAGGGCGGTGTAATAATAATAATAATAATAATAGCGCGCTCACCATGCATAATCGCGAAGTGTGCAGTCTCCGTCAATACTTCTTGGCGAGATCGGATGATCCATTCTATAATGACGTCATTTCTAGTGATAAAGGGCTTACCCCTCTATCCTAGATATAAGCCAACCTACTCCAAGAGCAATGGCAGGACCCAGCAGTGCTTAGCATTTCCGACCGGGAGACCGTATGGAAGGAGAAAGAGCTCCACGGGAGGTACTACAGGACTCTACATGAGCAGCCCTTCGTAGATACAGTCGCCTCCCTCAACTGGCTACGTTTCGGTGACCTCTTCGGGGAAACCGAGGGTTTTGTCTGTGCAATACAGGATCAGGTTATTAAGACCAACAACTATCGGAGATACATCCTAAAGGATGGCACCGTCGACGTCTGTCGAGCTTGTCGCCATCCCGGGGAGTCACTCAGGCATGTCATCTCTGGTTGTTCGGCGCTTTCTAACTCTGAGTACTTGCACAGGCACAACCTAGTAGCCAGAATTCTACACCAGGAGCTCGCTCTGAAATACGGTCTCGTGGGGCGTTTTGATCATGCAGAAATTCGCGAATAAGCCTGATATTGTGCTGATTGACCGGGCACAGTCAAGAATATTTTTGGTCGATATTACCATCCCGTATGACGAGAACCTCGTGAGAGCCGAAACAGATAAGCAATCAAAATATCTGGACCTGGCTCACGAGGTGACCGACATGTGTGGTGGTCTGCCGACCGAAATTATTCCTGTAGTCGTCTCTGCGAATGGGCTAATCCCAGTTAGCCTCTCTGGTCATCTGAGGCGACTGGGACTCCGTGACGGACCGCTCCGGGCTCAAATGCAGAAGGCGGTGCTCTTTGATACTGCCCGCATCGTCCGCCGGTTTCTTTCCCTTTCACCCTTAACCTTGGACGTTTGGTCTCCCTTGCCGAGGGCTTCCATCTGGTTGGTCTTTTATTTATTTATGTATTTTCGTATTTATTTTATTTTATTGATATTTATGTATATTTATCTTTTCATTTTCGTTTATAATTATATATTTATACATCCCAACCAGATGAGAAAACTATATAGATACCCCACACGTAATAATAATAAAATGGCGTAGGGAATTGACGACCCCATCGCCCGCTGACGTAACAGTTAAGTGACAAAACTGTTACGTCAACGCAGTCAGTCAGCGCCTTGCGAGAAGTGTGAGCGCCGTGCCTCGGCGGAATTCAGGGTGCAAAGGCCCGTTTGTGCTTATGGCCGTCCACGATACGGTGCCGGGCCTGGGCGTCTCCCGTTAATGGACGCCCATATTATGGATGATGGAAAAAAAGATAGTGCGCATAGGGCCGCTGCCTGGAGGTCGCCAGGGCGCGTCTGGAGCTGGCGCTGGACGCGACAGCATGGGGGCCGCCAGCCGAGCGCGGGGTGTTGCATGACCACCTAGCAGCCCCCCGCATCCATCATCCCCACCAGAAGGCTTGGTGTCGGCTGGGTCTTCTCGGACTCAGCAAGCGGCACCCGCCGCTGGTGGAGCACGTCGCATGCGTTGGTCTAAATCAATGAATGAAAACGCACTGCGGGCGTATTTTAGGGCAAAAGGGGAAGAAACTGGATGTTTGGCGTATCGGGCTCGGATGCATCGCTTTTTTGCAGAGCTGGAGCCATCTCTATCCGTCACATGGCAGAGTTATAATCTGTGCTATTTGGTGACTAGAGACGTATCTTTCTTCATCGAAGATGTGGGGGATGCGGTGCCACTAGATGCGCAACAAACTGCATATGTGGATGCTGCCGTCAACATTCCATTTGTGGCTAATTCAAACGATGATGGAATAGTCTTCTACGAACTAGAGAAAATGAGGAGTATATTGGAAGAGTCGATGCTGGAAACGCGCAGCATGCCTCTCGAAAATCGACCGCGACTTCCCCGCATAGCTCTTAGCAAGCGAAATCGGGCTGTCGTGCGGGCTCTTAACCCAATGCTGGTGACCTATTTGGAAGCCAGCCGGGACCTTTGCGAGACGGATTCAATTCTTTTTTGGCGCCGCACTGGCAGTATGCCGTATTATTGGCGCCAAACTTCCCCGTGGCTGGACGTGCTACTCAAATAAGTAGCGCCATCCCAGCCTGGAGAAAAAGAATTGAGGACCGTATCGCAAAGGCAAGGCCCTTATCGGCAGACTGACAAGCTTCAGGTCGGGTAATAATAAGGACCGAGGATTATGCGTACCGTTAGGATGGCGTTTGCTGGGACAAATATCAGTTTGTTCCAACCGGATATCACGCAAAAACTAACGGAGCGCATAGATGACCTGAAGCAAAAAATCGCTGCTTGGGGGAAGCGGATTCGACGATTTAGCGAGATGTCAAGGCGGTTCAACCAGAATCGTCTCTTCCAGAGTGATCAGAAGAGGCTCCATAAATCATTGGAGCGACCAGAGGTATGTGGAGCGGGCCCAGGACCGGATCAGGCCGACACTGTCGCATTTTGGCGTGGCCTGTGGTCAGAGCCCGTAAACCACAGCGAGGGCCCTTGGATGGAAGTTGTGGCGAGCCAGAGTGCAAGTGTTACGCCTATGGACCCCGTCACCTTATCGCCTGAAGACGTTGCTGAGGCGGTCCGTAGGGCCCCGAACTGGAAAAGTCCGGGGCTCGACGGGCTGCATCATTACTGGCTGAAGGGGTTCGTAGTGTGTCACGCTGTGCTCGCCCGACAGTTTCAAGAGGCTCTCGATCAGAAGTCGCTCCCGAGCCTCTTCACTACTGGGATCACTCATTTGGTTCCTAAAGATCAGGATACCACAGACCCGAGCAAATACCGCCCCATCACGTGTCTACCCACCATATATAAGACACTGACATCCATTTTGAGCGCGAGAATCACTCGTCACCTGGAGCTAAATCAGGTGATGTCACGCGCTCAAAATGGATGCCGGGGCGGTGGTCGTGGAACCAAGGAACCACTCCTCATTGACGCGGTCATTGGCAAAGTGGTGAAACGCAACCGTCGGAATTTCTCCGCCGCCTGGATAGACTACAGAAAGGCATTCGACTCGGTGCCCCATACATGGCTAAAGAGAGTCCTCCAGCTGTACAAAATTGACTGTACAGTTGGAGACTTCCTCGAGCAGTGTATGGGGCAATGGAGTACGATCCTTTGCTATCTGGGCGAGCGGATGATGGCTGCGGAGAACCACATAAGGATAAGAAGGGGTATCTTCCAGGGCGATTGTCTGAGTCCAATCTGGTTTTGCCTCTCCCTGAACCCTCTCAGTACTTTACTGGAGGGCTCCGGGAGGGGATTTCAGCTTCGGAAAGGAGGTACAAAAGTGACCCACCTTTTCTATATGGATGACCTCAAGTTATTCGCCTCTAGTCGCTCCCATCTTATGGAATTGCTAAACATCACTTGTGAATTTAGCAGTTCTATTGGAATGGAGCTGGGAACGGATAAGTGTGCGGTCCTCTATGTTGAAAGGGGAAGGGTTGCTAACTCTGAGGGCATAGACTTATCTATGCCCGTCAACTAAGGACCCTTTCCGAGGCTGAAACATACCGATACCTGGGTATGTCACAGAACATCGGTATCGATGAGGCTGGTATGAAACAGTCAGTTTGCGACGTGTTTTATGCACGCTTGACCAAAGTGCTTAACAGCCTTTTGTCCGGTGTGAATAAGACACACGCATATAACGGTTGGGTCATGCCTGTCCTCATGTACACCTTTGGTATACTCAGGTGGACCCAGACTGAACTTAACGCCCTGGATAGAAAAGTCCGCACTACCATGACGTCCCATAGGATGCATCATCCGAGATCGTCGGTAATGAGGCTGTACTTGCCGCGAAAGCATGGTGGACGTGGTTTTCTGAGCGCGCTCACCATGCATAATCGCGAAGTGTGCAGCCTCCGTGATTACTTCCTGGCGAGATCGGATGATCCATTCTATAATGACGTCATTTCTAGTGATAAAGGGCTTACCCCTCTATCCTTAGCCAACGAGCAATGGCAGGACCCAGCAGTGCTTAGCATTTCCGACCGGGAGACCGTATGGAAGGAGAAGGCGCTCCTCGGGAGGTTCTACAAGGCTCTACATGACCCTTTCGTAGACACAGTAGCCTCCCTCCACTGGCTACGCTTTGGTGATCTCTTCGGGGAAACCGAGGGTTTTGTCTGTGGAATACAGGATCAGGTTATTAAGACCAACAACTATCGGAGATACATCCTAAAGGATGGCACCGTGGACATCTGACGAGCTTGTCGCCATCCCGGTGAGTCACTTAGGCATTAGTCATCTCCGGTTGTTCGGCGCTTTCTAACTCTGAGTACTTGCACAGGCACAACCTAGTAGCCAGAATTCTTCACCAGGAGCTCGCTCTGAAATGCGGTCTCGTGGATCGGAAATTGCCGTATTACAAGTACTTGCCGGAAGCCGTGCTCGAAAATGATCGCGTCAGGCTCTATTGGCACCGGGCCATCATCACAGACAGCACTATTCCTGCGAATAAGCCTGATATTGTGCTGATGGACCGGGCACAGTCAAGGATATTTTTGGTCGACATTACCATTCCGTATGACGAGAACCTCGTGAAAGCCGAAACAGACAAGCAAACAAAATATCTGGCCCTGGCTCACGAGGTGACCGACATGTGGGGTGGTCTGCCGACCGAAATTATTCCTGTAGTCGTCTCTGAAAACGGGCTAATCCCAGTCAGCCTCTCGGGTCATCTGAGGCGACTGGGACTACGTGGCGGACCGCTTAGGGCTCAAATGAAGAAGGCGGTGCTCCTCGATACCGCCCGCATCGTCCGCCGGTTTCTTTCCCTTTCCCCCTAACCCTCGGCCGTTTGGTCTCCCCTGCCGAGGGCCTCCATCTGGTTGGGCTTTTATTTATTTATGTATTTTTATATTTATTTTATGTTATTGATATTTATGTATATTTATCTTTTCATTTTCATTTATAATTATATATTTATAGAACCCAACCAGATGAGAAAACTATATAGATACTCCAAATAATAATAAAATATTTATTCATTGACCAAAAGTAATAAAATATTTAAAAGTTAAACTAATACAAAAATAATATTTTTAGAAGGACAATGAAAGGGTTCTGACTCAGCATGTGTTGCAGAGAATTTACAACGCTGTTATTCTGTCAGCACCCATATACCTTACTTAGTGAGCTGAAGTATAACAGTACGCGTACATCACCGATTATATTCCAAATAGCTTTTAGTGTTAAATTATTTATTTATTCATTCAGCCAGTACAAGAACTATATAATTAACCAGTACAAGTTATAATACTTCTATCAATAATTTAATAATTAATATACATGTACAAGAGATAAAACATAATATAAACAAAATATAAACGTAATATAAACAAAAACATGAAAAAAAAATAGTATTAAAAGTAAGAGCTACAGTAGTGTTTTATTTATTCAGACTAATTATAATAATTATGCTAGAACAACGTAATAATAATGTAGTATCTTCCTTACTTTTTAAATTTTTTTTAATTATATATCCACTAAGATAACTTCTTCCTACTACTATGCAGATGATCCCCGTTGTTATTCATTCCTGTTAGTGAAAAAAAGATGAACTTGGGAATTTATATTGACAAGAACTTACCATGGGATCTTCAAATACAGAAAGTTAGTCGTAATATTTTTGCAGCTGCGCGCTTTGAATATATTAAGGAACTTTCTATCATGAGCAGTCATGAGTGCTAAAACACTAACGACGTAAGTTATAATTGTTGAATATCACTTAATTAAATTAAGTATCAATTATCTCCGTGAAAAGAGAGAGACCAACTTTAAGCATTTCTGAAATTGTCGTTGACTTTACAACTATAACCGTAAAATGACACATGGCTTTTAATTCATAGATGTAGTCACTCTACAGTTAATCAAAAAACGTCCAACGTTCCAAAAGCATCAACAGACGACATATTATTTTAGGATTATAATAGTAGGCTCTATCTGAGCGAAGTTGATCTAATAATTATTATTGTTCTCCTTATTAGGATTTTTATAGTAGTTGTCGCATGTCAACTTAACTTTTTCTTGTAAACAAGTATTTTCATTTAATATTCAGATTATTACATGTGACCTTAAGGGAACTTAGACTGAGAACTTATTGTATTAGTATGCAACCTTCAAATCTAGTATATATATATTCTACTGTCATCAACAGGGCGGCATAGTTTGCACTCAGAAGGCTTACGTGCATTTCCAGTGAGATCTACCACATCCATCTCTCCTATCAAAATGAAATTCGTCGTACGTATTTCTTTTCTTTAGTTTTAATAGTCTTGAAAGATAAGTATAATAAGTTTTAGTAAATTTGACTCTTCCATCCTTAAGAAAGCCGAAGGCGAGTATTACTATTAGATATATTTAGGTATGTACAATAGAAGGATCTACTGTTATACGCCATAATTGGCAGGCCGATCAGCTGATCGTTTAAAAACATGTCTCGCACCCTTAACACTGTCAGAATATTCCAATAGATCACGCAACAGTAGAGTTGTTCATTTTTAAAATAATTTACTTGTTTTTAACTCGAGAAAGCCTAGTATTGTTCTTAGTGGTCACTTTGGGAAAACAACTGTGTTTTTTTTTAAATTATTTAGGTTGAGAAATTATTATAACATCTATACAAAATAAGAATAATATTTATAATATTAAAGAATAATATATAATATGTACTAAATAGGCCACCCCCTTTGATTGCTTCATAAGATCATGGAATTGATAATTGCCACGCTTGTCATAGGCGGTATGGCATAGGTGCCATTTCAGCGATTGTAGATATAGTGCAATTCTTGGGTCTATAGCGCTTTTTTTAATATATACGAGCTAAAAATATCTAGTAGACTAGATATTATTTAAAAATATCTAGTAGAATAGATATTTTCTAAAAATATCTGGTGGCCTAGATATTTTTAGCACGTAGATATTTAAAAAAAGCGCTATAGACCCTTGAATTGCACTAGATCTAGCGCCAAATGTGCTGAAACGGCAACACCGTGTGGCATATCCAATTCCAGTTTGCCTTTGTCATTTCGTTGAAGTGATTCTTACGACACCTACGAGATG